AAACTTCGTACGGTTTCTATCTGGTTGCCTTCATGCGTAGGTCTGATTTTCGAGTTGCACATCAGCCAGATGACGACTTGTGAGTTATGACGGTAGGTTTTTAAGAATGCATTCTGCTCCATTTTTCCTGTGCTGTGTTGGTTGGGTGAAAGGTGAGTGCCGTGATTACTTGACATATAGCTATATATAAGACTTCTTTGAGCGGTGCATTGCATCGGCCTTGCTAACAGTTTTTTTATTTTATATAAGCTTTATTAGTTACCGTATTCATAAATATAACACGTAGTGGTAAAATTTGCATATAGGAGATCGTTTTTCATGTCCAAAACGTTGTACTTGTACAATTACAAATGAACCCCTACTCCAAAATTTGCTTTGACCAATGAAAGCCTCCAACGTCCAAGCCTAGATTGCGACATTAGCCTATTCGCTGGTTGGTTTTAGTCAGGGTTTATCAGCCAGTCAACAATGTTTTTCTCTCACAACAAACCAGTGCCAGTTGGGCTTATCAGCCTAGAAACCAACCAGTGAACAGGCTGAATATGTAAAGAAATGGTGGGCTCCACCCAGAAAGGGGTACCAGCAGTGAAGTTATGGAGAGTGCCTTCTCTAGTTTCGAATATAAGCCCATTATATTAGCCTTGACTAATCCTATTGTCTTCGCACTAGTTTTAACCAGGCACGCTATAAAATTATAGAAATCCTAGAGATGTCCATAGAAAAGGTAAACATCTTGCTTCCAAATTACTCACTTATATATACCATAATAATAAAATAATAATAGAGTATACCCTTAAATATACATATAAATTACCCATTTGCTAATCTGTTAACCGTGGTGATGCATCGCCACCAATTTTTTAAGAGACATAAGTATTAGAAAAGTTCATGGATAAATTCTCCCCCCCCCCCAACTAATCAAAATTTTAAGAGGGGAAACCAATGCAAGCAATTTAATTAGTTATGTGGGTCTCAAATTTATCCATAGACTTTGAATATATTGTGTCCTTGTAATTTCTTGCTTGATGGCAAGTAACATGTATATACTATCTTCAAAAAGAACAAGTTATACTTCATGATGAAAGTATTTTATTGTTGAATAAAATAAATAACCAAAAGTAACCCCTAATCTTCATCCAAACTACTCACATATGTCATTATGAAAAATAAAATAAAATATCTCCCTGACTATAAATCTAAATTACACACCTCCACTACCTCCATTATTATTACAAGTATAAGATTCATGAACCTAAATCATATTACCTAACATATATCATTATAAAAAGAATCCAAAAATAGTTCTATATACACTTTTGCAGTAGAAAAACTAACTTACGTATAATAAATGTTATAAAAAAACTTACGTATAATAAATAATCCCTAAATTTGAATCTAAATTATGCGTCTTTATTCAGGCAGCGGAGCTACGCGGTATTGTTGCTCCATTGAATGCAGGATCAGGATTACAGTCACTTTCTTTTATATCATATAAACTCTAAATCGTGTATGGATATTGTAGTTGGAGCTATGACAAACAATCCATAAGATGATATGCTATACTCCCTCCGTACCAGAAGGAAGGTCGTTATGGAATGTGTGTAGGTCAAATATTCTCAACTTTAACTATGTTTGTAGAAAATACGTACAACATTTATATCCCCTAATAAGTTTATTATGAAAGTATATTCAACGATCTATCTAATCATACTAATTATGTATTATAAATATTAATATTATATATATATATAATTGGTCAAAGTTAAAAAAAGTTGACTTTTATTTTGGGACGGAGGGAGTATCATATAAACTCTAAAGTATAGTAGCATAAATAAAAAGACTCTACGTTTCAAAATAGATAAGTTAACACAATTGATACTTTAATTGTAAAAAACACAATTAAAATGCTATGTTTCAAATGTTTCCGTTGTTTTAAACAAGTGTTTTATCTGGACGTTGCATATGTTGCACTGGCTATATACGTATGTTACATGTGTATGTTTTCAAATGTATCAGCTGTTTCAAACCTATGTTGCAAGAGTTTTATCTGGATATTGCAGTGCCCCATACACATATGTTGAAAGCGTATGTTGCAAATGTTTCATCTGCTTCGAACGTATGTTGCAACAAATGCTTTTATGTTGCAAGTGTTTCATGAGCAGGCGCAACAAGGGAGCACAGGCGAAGGTGGTCCCCTCGGGCGCAGCGGTCCCCGCGTTCGTGCGGGAAGCAAAGCAGGCGCTGCAGCAGGTGCGGAGCACAAAGCGGAGCATGAAGATGCATCCATGGGCAGGCAACAAGCGTGGAGCACGAGGCGAAGTGAAGCATGAAAATGCATTCATGGACAGGCAGTAGGCGTGGAGCATAAGGCGAAGCGGAGCAGGAAGCTGCACCTATATGCTGCTAAATGTATCATTATTGAAAATGGGCGGGTAGAAGTAACATTCTGTTCCTTGGACCAGACAACACCAAATGTAATTTCCTTTCAAAAAAAACACGCACCAAATGATTTTTTTTAAATAAATTGGGAAACAAAACCCCTCAACTCAAAACCCTACACTCTCCATGGCCTGATTCCCTCGCCGCCGCCGGAGGGAGGCGGTCAAACGATGCTATCCCTCCCCCTACGCCGCCGCCACCTCCTCCGCCTCTGCACTCGCCGGAACCCTACCCTCCTGTGCTTCTCCATCGCCGCCGCCCTCTCCACCGCCCCTACCGCCGCTGCCGCCGCCGCCGCCACTCCCATTTCCGACCGCCTACGCGTCCTCCGCTCCCTCCACGCCGTCGCCCCTGACCACCTCCTCTCCCACCCGCTCCCCTCCTCCGCCCACGTCTGCCTCGCCGCCCACCTCGCAGCCCGCGCCCGCCTCTTCGCGCACTCCCGCCGCCTCCTCTCCCGCCTGCTTGGTGCTGGCCACCGGCCCCACCTCGCCGCCTCCCTCGTCGACCTTCTCCACCGCGCGGCCCTCGCGCTGGGGCCCCGCCGCAGCGCGCTACCGTCCGTCGTCGACACCCTCCTCTCCCTGCTCGCCGACCACGGCCTCCTCGACGACGCCGTCCGCGCCCTTGTCCGCGTGCGGCAGCTGCGGGTGCCCCCGAACACCCGTACCTGCAACCACATTCTCCTGCGCCTAGCCCGCAACCGCCAAGGCGGTCTCGTCAGGCGGCTCTTCGACCAGCTGCCCGCGCCCAACGTGTTCACGTTCAATATCGTGATTGATTTTCTGTGCAAGGAGGGAGAGCTTGTGGAAGCGAGGGCACTGTTCGTGAGGATGAAGGCGATGGGCTGCTCGCCGGACGTGGTCACTTACAATTCTTTGATTGATGGGTACGGCAAGTGCGGGGAGCTGGAGGAGGTGGAGCGGTTGGTGTCAGAGATGAGGAAGTCTGGATGTGCAGCTGATGTTGTGACGTACAATGCATTGATCAATTGCTTTTCCAAATTCGGGAGGATGGAGAAGGCGTACATCTACTTTGGGGAGATGAAGAGGCATGGAGTGATGGCAAATGTGGTTACATTTAGCACTTTTGTCGATGCATTTTGCAAAGAAGGGTTGGTCCGGGAGGCAATGAAGCTGTTTGCACAGATGAGGGTGAGGGGGATGATTCCAAATGAGTTCACTTATACTTCATTGGTCGATGGCACTTGCAAGGCAGGGAGGCTAGATAACGCCATTGTATTGCTTGATGAAATGGTGCATCAGGGGTTGGTGCCAAATGTGGTGACGTACACTGTTATGGTCGATGGCCTTTGCAAAGAGGGTAAGGTTGCTGAAGCAGATGATGTTTTCAGTCTGATGGAGAGAGCTGGTGTTAAAGCCAACGAGTTACTCTACACTACACTGATCCATGGGCATTTCATGAATAAGAACAGTGAGAGGGCTCTGGATTTGTTGAATGAGATGAAGAATAAAGGAATGGAACTGGATGTCTCTCTCTATGGCACCCTCATTTGGGGTCTCTGTAAAGATCAAAAGGTGGATGAAGCTAAGAGTCTGTTACATAAAATGGATGGCTGTGGTTTGAGACCTAATACTGTCATTTATACGACAATAATGGATGCCTTATTTAAAGCAGGAAAAGAGTCAGAGGCTGTTGCCTTACTCCACAAGATTCTGGATTCTGGGTTCCAACCTAATGTTGTTACTTATTGTGCATTAATTGATGGATTGTGCAAAGCAGGATCAATCTCCGAGGCCATCTCCCATTTTAATAAAATGAGAGAGTTAGGCCTGGATCCAAATGTACAAGCTTACACCGCCTTAATTGATGGTTTTTGCAAGATTGGTTCCTTGAATAAGGCTGTGCACTTGATGAATGAAATGGTTGACAAGGGTATGTCTCTTGACAAAGTTGTGTACACATCTCTTATTGATGGGTACATGAAGCAGGGAAATCTCCAGGATGCATTTGCACTCAAGGCCAAGATGATTGAAAGTGGTTTGCAACTTGATCTCTATTGCTACACTTGTTTTATCTGGGGCTTCTGTAATATGAATATGATGCAAGAAGCTAGAGGAGTTCTTTCAGAAATGATTGGGACTGGTATTACTCCTGATAAGACGGTTTACAACTGTCTGATAAGAAAATACCAGAAATTGGGGAACATGGAGGAAGCGTTAAGTCTTCAGAATGAAATGGAAAGTGTTTTAAACTCTTGCACAGAAGATGATACTGCTTCTGGTTCTGGTTGTGAAACCTGAGCTTGCGGTTTACAAGGTATAAAGGGTCAGTTTTTCTTTTCTTTTGATATAGTATCAACATTTCGGCACTCTCCCCATGCAAAAATTTATTGCAAGTAGGGGCTCATGTTGGGTTTCAACTCTAGCCTACCCCAACTTGCTTGGGACTAAAAGGCTTTGTTGTTGTTGTTGAATTAATTACATATACCTCTCGCATTACAATCCTGAATCCTGCCTTGTGCTTGGGGTTGCTTTACTTACTAGGAGCTGGCCGGCCTTGGGGCACGTGGCAAGCAACATCTGGAGAATGGGGGCGCCATGAAGCACAAGCTGCTCAAGGTTACAATCCCTGCCTGCTACACTGCTTATGTGTTCACATTCCATGCTCTAGCTAGTATTGGCAGAAACCGTAATTGTGCGGCAGTATGGCGCATTTTTGTTTGTGTTTTATACAGTATATGCCAGAGAAAGACAGCAATCAAGTTGAATCCTTTCTTGCTGGCTGCTTTCAGAGAGAAATTAAGCTACTTGCCTCTGCTGATTTAGTGCGTTCATGTGCCTCGCGCGAGCGCGTGTTGTGCGGACATCTGCTTCTGTGTGTGTGCTGTGACGCTTCTCTGTCTCCATTCTCAAGTCGCTATTCTTGGAGTGGGCGGAGGTGGCATCCCAAAATTGTTTCTCTCATCATGCCTTGACATGCCATGCCTCAGTTTGCTATTCTTGGAGTAGGTGGCAACCCAAAATTGTTTCTTTCATCATGCCTTGACAAGTTGACATGCCATGCCTCTGATGAAATGTACACAAAATTGCTGTTGCTGGCGAGATGCCCTCTTGCTGTACCTTCTTTGTTTTTGAGACAATTTGTTTTGCCTTGTTATCAATTTTCTGTAGCCACCTTTGTGTCAATCCATAGCTGAATTTAAAGAGTGGACACCACATACTCTTACATATCCTCTGAGTTAACAGTGTTTCGGCTGAGAGATCTATAGGTCAAAGTGTAATAAGGATCTATCAAATCAAAAGCAAAGCTTAAGGGTGCTTTCTCTTTAATTGGACTAAACAATGACACCTTCAAAAGTAAAGTTAAGCATTAGGAGAGTACAAACAGCGAGACATTGCTATCATCCATCGAACTGTAGTCAGTCGTGTTTTAGGACCTCGTACTCCCAAAAGGTATCAATTGAAGGACTTGTCCTCAAAGGTAACTGTGACCTCTTATTTTTCCTACATTTTAGGATTCGGCAGTCTGCAGCTCTTCATTTTTCATATTTGAAAAATTAGTTGAGTAGCCTCAAGGGCTTGTAGTTTTTTTTTGTTTTCTATTATAGGAAACTTATTTGTTTTGTGACAGGATACAACTGTTCATGGTAAAGAGAACCATGGTCAAGAGACAGTATATGAGGAGAATACCAAGTCCTGTGAACATGAATATGGAAATCACTGCCTCTGGTCTATTGAACATAGGGAAGTAATGAAGGATGCCATTGTCAAGAGGCTTAAAGATCAACTTTTTATGGCAAGAGCTCATTATCCTACTGTTGCAAAATTGAAGCAACAGGAAAGATTTACACGTGAACTGAAGCAAAACATCCAAGAGCATGAACGCATGCTGAGTGACACAATCACAGATGCCGATCTTCCACCATTGTTAGTCTCGCCTTAGCTTTAAAATCATATGTGTTTCTTTATTTTTCATATAACCTTTTGCACTAAATAAATGAATTATTGTGGCTAGTGCAATCCATTAACATGGCTTTGTTTCTTGTCTTAGTTCTGTGTCTGCATTTCTTCAAGTAATAAAGGATGAGCATACACAATTATGATGCTTGTGACTTAATTGTGATAAAATAATGCACTGCAATGTCTTTTTTTTTTTTAATTCTATTCTCAAAACATTTCTGGTGGCAATAACTGGTTACTCTTTTCAGTTTTGCAGAGAAGCTGGAGAAGATGGAGCACACAATTGAGCGAGCCGAGTCTTGTGAAGTGGGATGCTCGAATGTTGAACGGAAACTTAGGCAGCTACTTGATATAACTGAAGATGAAGCTTATTTCCATACAAGGCAGAGTGCATTTCTATATCATCTTGGGGTCCAGACTATGCCGAAACTCACCATTGCTTGAACATGAGATTGACAGTAGAATATTCATACTTGGAGGCAACTGTTCGTAACTTACATTGAGGACAACCAGAGGCTCTCTAAGGATGTAGATTCCCTTGAGATGCAACAATTATGGCCTGCAGAGGAATTTTGTGTCACAATTCTTAATCATTCTGAACCTTCCCAGAGGCAGATGAAAACTGAGTACATATCTATTTTCGGTCATTCAAGTTTCCTCTTGCCTGACCTTCCTACCTTGAACAGAGTAGTTGTTCTGGACGATGATTTGATTGTGAAGAAAGATTTGTTATCTTTGCGGAACCTTGATATGGGTAGTAAAGTGATCGCCGCTGTCCAGTTCTGGTGAAGTGAGATTAGGGCAGTTGAAACCATAGCAGACCATAATGTCAATGCTAATTCATGTGTGTGGTTGTCTGGCCTGAATGTCATTGAATTGGATAAATGGAGGGACACCGGCATTACCAGTTTGTATGATTAATCGCTCCAAAAGGTCAGTAGAACTCACCATTCACATTGAATTATCAATTGCTGTCTCATGAAAATCTGTGGTTTCCATGTAGTATCCCCTAATCCCATCCTTTTGCTATAATTTCCTTATCTGATGTCTAAAAGGCAGCTGCCATGTGATCTATTAACTTCGTTTTTTTGCACTTGCGAAAGAACAGCCTGAAATCACAGCGACCGCAAGCACTCGCTGCAAGTTTACTTGCCTTTCAAGTTCTAGTATATCCTTTGGAAGATTCATGGGTTCAATCAGGCCTTGGACATGATTGTGGAATCAGTTATGTCAATATAGAAAAGTCTGCTACTCTGCAGTATAATGGTGTGATGAAACCTTGGCTCGACTTGGGGCTGCATGATTATAACTTATAAGAGCTACTGGCAGAGGTGCATGACTAATGGAGAGAAGTTCATGACCGAATGCAAATATTCACTAATTAATAGGACATGAAATGCACCAAACACTCATTTTTGGGCATTTGAACCACAGATTTCATGGGTTTGCTTAAATGGTGAGGTGGTCATGAAAATAAACAGAATTGCTCCTGGCCTGCAGTTTCTATGTTGACTCAAACACACCCCTGTTGAGGCAGTGCTCAAATACCAAGGCCACGTTTAGTTGGGCCGAATTGGCGCCGCCAAACGCACTGTAGCTACAATGTAGCTACAGTGTCGTTTTGTTTTTATTTGGTAATAATTGTCCAATCGTTGACTAATTAAGCTCAAAATGTTCGTCTCGCAAAGTACAACCAAACTGTGCAATTAGTTTTTGATTTCGTCAACATTTAGTACTCCATGCATGTACCGCAAGTTTGATGTGACGGGAAATCTTCTTTTTGCATAGTGTCAAAGTTGGGAATTTGGTGGAACTAAACATGGCCCAAAAGGAGAATAGGATGAAATGCTTTCTGCACATACTGACAATGTAGCCATAACAGTGTCTACTATGTCCGAAGGACAGCAGTGTGAAACCTATGAGTTATGATTTTTTTTACCAAGACGTAATATAGATTATTTCACACTGTTCATTACGGTTTGATGATTTTTTCCATATGCACCTTGGCACTGCAAAAGTGCAGTTCCTTGGTGCTCATTTTTGGTATAAAATATTTAGTGCTATTCTTTTTGCTCACTGCAAGAGCAATACTGAGGGAGTCCAATGTTGACTGCGGCACAGCATGTACAGTACAGGAAACAGCAAATGATGCTTGTAATTCTTAGCAGCAAGGCTTGCATTTGTTACTGTGAGATGTTGATAGCCCATTGGCGACATAACAAATGGTTGTCTGTTCTGCTCAATGGCATTCTTTTTTCTTTTGTGGATTTATTAGGTTCCTTTTGTTGTGCAAATCTCAGAAAGGTGAGTGCCGGGCTTGCTTGACATAGCTACTGACTTTTTGGAGCGGTGCATCACATCAGCCTTGCTAACAGTTTTATTTTATACGCTTTATTAGTTATCGTCTTAATAAATACATTAGGTAGTAGTAAAATTTGCATATAGGAGATCGTTTTTGTTGTCCAAAACGTTGCACATTTACAAATGAACGGAGTAGGAAGTAATTAGCCCTACTCCAAAATTTGCTTTGACCGATGAAGGCCTCCGACGTCCAAGCAAGATTGCGTTTGATGTTAGTCACTGAACCTGCTCGATTGCCTCAGCGTGTCGATCTATATATATAAAGCCCAGATTGTGACAGTATGTAACAGAAATGGTGGGCCCCACCCAGAGAGGGGTACCAACAGTGATGTTATAGAGAGTGCCTTCTCTAATCCCGAATGTCTGCACATTATATTAGCTTCGACTAATCCTATCGTCTTCGCACAAATTTCAACAAGGCACGCTAAAGAACTTGAGAAAACCTAGAAATGTCCATAGAAAAGTCTAAGATCTTTTGCTTCTAAATTACCCACTTATATATACCACAATATAGCCCTGTAAATATATACATTGGGTCTGTTTGGCCTTCTCCAGCAACTAGTATTACCCATTTACTAATCCGTCAACCGTGGTGATGCATGGGCTACCAATTTTATAAGAGACATAAGTACTAGAACATGTCTTAAACTAATCAAAGGTTTAAGAGGGGAAGCCAAGATAAGTAATTTAATCAATTATGCGGGTCTCAAATTTATCCATAGACTTTGAATACTTGTATCCTTGTAATTTCTTGCTCATGTAGGATCATGAGTTGATGACAAGTACTATGTAAAAGTATATATTATTTTCAGAATAATAAGTTATACTTTATGAAAGTATTTTATTTTCAAATAAGATAAATAATCAAAAGTAACCTCTAAACTACTCACATATGTCATTATGGAAAATAATATAAAGTATCTCCCTAACTATGTATCTAAATTATGCACCTCCACTACCTCCACTATTATTACAAATAAGATTCCTGAACCTAAATTATATTACCTAACATATATCATTATAAAAGAATCCAAAACATACTTCTATATACACTTTTGTCGTAGAAAAAACTAACTTACCTATAATAAATAACCCTGAGTATTTAAATCTAAATTACCCGTCTCTACTATTATTAAAGTTACCTAAACAATTCATGAATATTAGTAGTAACTTAGCCTGTTAAGCATAGAACGGAATTTTCTATTCGGGCAGTGGAGCCGCATGATAAATAGGCCATAAGATGATATTATGCTATTATTATTGAAAGAGCATGGCTCTGTTCGACACTATTACCGGTCCGGCACGGTGTGCTGTCCCTGTGTAGGTGCATCGGCTTGAGCCCCAACATGGTCGGCCTCCTACGACAATAAACCACCTAGTTTGCTAGTATCAAATCTTTTGTTTGTTGCCTACTTTGTGACTCCTGTGATGTATATGTAATCACCTCCGATCAATGGGAAGCTTATTGTTATTGATTCTGTATCAGAATTCAATGATGTATCAAAGTCAGAGGTCTCGAATTCAAATCTTGGCCATCACAATTAAATAAACTAATTATTTCTCACTCCTATTTCGTTTCTAAGGCTTGAAGAAGCTTTCACATAAGTGAATTGTTCACCTCTTTCTACCAGTTTAAGCTTTTGGATTGAATGGACTGGTACGTGCAACTCAATAATTGTATCGTTCCACAGTCAAGATACCCATTTCACATCATTCTTTTTCTATTTTTTAAAATATTAACCGTTAATATTTGTACCAAATAATTCTTACGTTATCTTCAAATTTCCCATTATGGCATACCTTTTTTTGGTGGCAGGACAAACCATCTTAGGAACTATGGATCTCACGCCTAATGGTTCTCGCTTAATATCTATCTACTATGTCTGGTCAGTATTGTTGAGCTTGACATTTCTTACAGCCAAATTGGCAACAGTTTAGTACAGTTTCGCTGTAAGAAACGCCATGTATTAATAGTTCGTGGATATAGAAACCTTAATCAAAAGCGGTAATTCGAGTAAATAGTTATACCCTCAATAAATACATTCTGTCCCAGTTAGTTATGAACAAAAAAAAAATACTGATGGTGGCCTTCTTCTCCACTATCTATCTATCTATATATATAAAGTTCACAGATGAACAACTGCTGCAATTCATGTCTTCAACTCGAGGACTTCTTATTGTGTCATCAACAACAATGGCGTTTCTCATGTTATGTTTCACATCCTTTTTGCTCTTGCCCATCGCTTCTCCATTGCCAATCGACGCCGCGACGGCATCTGGGCAAGACCCTGAACAGGTCGTTCAAGATGTAGTCAGGTAACTAAATCAGATTCAGGCAATGCTGCACACATACGTTCTGACATTTTAGTTTATTGCGTACTTACTAGTTCTTTTTTATCTTTCATTCTTTTGCTTAAAGTTTAACACGATCAAAATACAGAATATAGTGGAGCCTTAATCCTTTGATCGTGTCCCCTTGACAATACAGAAGAAGCGTGAACATGCCGTCGCTGCACCGACGGCGGATGGTAGGCGAATGCGGCAGCGGCAATCCAGTGGACGACTGCTGGCGCTGCGACCCCAGCTGGGCCGACAACCGGCAGCGCCTCGCGGACTGCGTGGTCGGCTTCGGCCGCGCCGCCATCGGCGGCAAGAACGGCAAGACCTACGTGGTGACCGACCCGAGCGACGACGCCGACCCGGCGAACCCGGCGCCGGGCACGCTCCGCTACGGCGTCATCCAGCAGGAGCCGCTGTGGATCACGTTCGCGCGCGACATGACCATCAGGCCGAAGCAGGACCTGCTCGTTGCCTCCTACAAGACCGTCGACGGACGCGGGGCCGGCGTGGTGGTCGGGGACGGCGGCGCCTGCTTCGTGCTGCGCAACGTGAGCAACGTCATCATCCACGGGCTCACCATACGCGGCTGCAAGCCTGCGCCTGCATTGTCGCCGTCGGCGGAGTCGGAGGGTGACGGCATCACCGTGTTCCGCGCCACCAACGTGTGGGTCGATCACTGCACTCTCGAGGCCTGCGCCGACGGCCTCATCGACGTCACGGACGGCTCCACGAACGTGACCCTG